GATCTCCCCCGACTTCCACTCCCCACAGGGATGCTTTGGTGATCCAAAATGAAATAAACGACACCATCATTCACCGAACTTACGTTGACACGGGCAGCTCCGTCAATGTAATGTACCTCAGCACCTTCAGAGAGCTGCATCTGGAGAGGGGGTCCCTTCGGCCAATCAAGACCCCTCTTGCCGGCTTCACCGGCGACACCATTGATTCTGAGGGGGTCATAACCCTCCCTGTACTATTCGGTAATGGGCTCCATAGAGCCAAGCTCGAAGTGGAGTTTGTCGTCATCAACATCGATTGCACCCACAACATCATCCTCGACCGACCAGCCCTCGAGGATCTCGAAGCCATCATCTCTATGAGGCACCTCTGCCTCAAGTTCCCAGCCGAGGGAGGCATCGGCTACTCGAGGGGAAATCAAAAACTCGCCCGTGCCTGTTACCTTCAAGTAACGAAGAAGGTAAGCAAGAAAGAATTCCGTGTTGACACCATCACCGGAACCGTAGAAGAGGAAGAAACGAGGCCGAGGGCTGAACCAGCCGAGGATGTAGAAGACTTTGCGCTCGATCCGGCCAATCCGGAGAGAGTCGTGAAGATTGGAGCCCGGCTCCCCGAAGATTTGAAGTCCGGCATCACCGAGGCCCTCTGCGCCTACTCTGTTGTTTTTGCATGGGGGCGGAGGATATACCGGGAATCAGCCGAAGGGTCATCACCCACCACCTCTCGGTGGACCCTTCGGCCAAACCTGTACAACAACGGAGAAAGCCCCTCTCGACCGAGAGGAGGGAATTTGTGAAGAAGGAGGTCACCATGCTCCTTTCCATCAAGCACATCAAGGAGGTGAAATACCCCTCATGGCTAGCAAATGTAGTCCTCGCACATAAGCCTCCCACCTTCCGCATGTGCGTGGACTACACGGATCTGAATAAGGCATGCCCTATGGACCCCTTCCCCTTGCCAAACATTGATCAACTTGTGGATGAGACCGCGGGGTGCGAGATCATGTCCTTCCTCGATGCCTTCCGAGGGTACCACCAAATTTTCATGCACGAGGAAGACGCCGAAAAAACAGCCTTCATGACTCCCGAGGGCATCTTCTGCTACCTTGTCATGGCCTTTGGCCTGAAAAACTCAGGCGCCACTTACACCCGGATGGTGGCCAAGGTATTTCAGGCCGTCCTAGGGCGCACCATGGAGGCATATGTTGACGACATGATCTTCAAAAGCAAGCAATCAACAAGCCATGCTGACGACCTCAGGGAGATCTTCGCCATCATGCAAAAGTTCAACCTTCGGCTAAACCCGAAGAAGTGCACCTTCAGCGTGCAAGGAGGTAAATTCTTAGGCTACATGGTGAGCCAAAGGGGTATCGAGGCCAACCCCGAGAAGATTCAGGCCATCATCAACATGGAGCCCCCACACAATGTGAAGGAGGTTCAACAGCTGACGGGCCGCCTTGCAGCCCTCAACCGCTTCCTGTCCAAGTCGGCGGAAAAATCCTTACCATTCTTCCAAATCATGAGGAAAACCGTCGGGTTCCAGTGGACTTCAGAGTGTCAAGAGGCCTTCGAGGAGCTGAAACGGTACTTATCTTTGCCCCCTGTGCTCTCTAAACCCAAGGTGGGGGAAACTCTGTACCTCTACCTTGGCGTCAGCCCGGCTGCATTCAGCTTGGTACTCATCCGGGAGGAAGACGACATCCAACATGCCATCTTCTACGTAAGCAAGACCCTCAGGGAAGCAGAGCTCAGATATTCCCCTACAATGAAAACGGTGCTAGCCATCATTTGGACCGTCAAGAAGTTGGGCCACTACTTCCAAGCTCATCCGGTACAGGTCCTCACGCACCAACCCCTCGGCGCCCTCATGAGGAGCCCCACCAGCTCCTCCCGAATGGTAAAATGGGTTATCTTTCTAAGCCAATACAACATCGACATCCGTCCGAGGCCCGCCATCAAGGGCCAAGCCCTGGCAGACTTTGTGACAGAATGCACGGCAAGATCAGCCACGGATGAGGAGCCCTCGGCTCCCTCGGACGACTGGTGGACCCTCTACACCGACGACTCCTCCGCAGCCAAAGCATGCGGGGGAGGGGTAGTTCTCATTACACCCGAGGGCTTCCGGTCCTACTATGCCATCCGCTTCTCCTTCAAGGTCTCCAATAACGAAACAGAATATGAGGCCCTCCTCTGTGGCCTTCGGCCGAGGGCTCGCTTATGGATTCCACATCGGAAACCACTTCATCATCAATCGAGGGCTCCCTCGAGATGTCTTGTGAATCGCTTTGGGATGACATTTCTTACACTAAAGCAGAAGGGTTTCTAAAACCGAAGGCTTACTAAACAAACTCTAGCACTTTGCCTAAGGGCGAAATAGCAAAATAAATGCTAAATAAGGAACTCAAGAACAAAGGGAACAACTGACCTTGGGGAGTTTTGATTTTGTCTGAGGGGGATTTTCTCTCTCTAGAAATCAAATTGCCAGAGCTTCGCTACAATGATCGCACAAGGAGAACGGCCCCTGGCCTTGGGGTATTTATAGGCACCCAAATCCGGGCTTGGGCCGAAAATTGGGCCCCCGATGGAAAAATCATCATTATGAACCGTTGAGTTGCCCAATCGGTGACGCCCGCCCACAGGCAGCCAACCGCCACGCGCCACGTGGACTCCATCTCCAACGGTCATATTACAACGGCCATATTCTGGGAACCCGAGGGTCCCCCTCGGCCAAACACTCCTTCATCAAGCAATAGACATTCCCTCGGGTTGATCCTTCGCACTCCCTCACCAAAGCGAGCCCTCGGTTTCACAAGGGGGAGACCCCTCGGGAACCCTTAGCCCTCAATGCATTGAGGACCAAGGAACCCCCGGGCTACAACTTCAAAAACCCCTCATCAATAATTGCAGGGAACCCCTCGACATCAGCGTGACTCTACGTCACAACGGTTTTTCCTTGGCGTGATTTCACATCAGCAAAGGTCCCTCGATTTTCATCCCCCCGTCATCTTTATTTGATGCCAGGGACTGTCATACAGGCCCCTCGGCCTAGCCTTCATCCCTCCGGCATCTTTATTTGATAACGGGGGGTCCTTACAAGCTTCTCAGCCTTTTCATGCAGGATCCAGGGCTGGTCTTGGATATCCCCTCGGCAGTACATGAACTACCACTCACATCCAGCACGCCCTCAGCCCCAAGGACTGAGGGACTCCCCTTCGGCGTCTCCCGGGATATCGACAGCGCGCCTTCGGCAAATCAACACACGCACCCTCAGACAAGGGTAGCCTTCGGCTACAACACTGTCGTTAGTCTCAGACCAAGGTTTCACCTTTTCGATTCATCATTGGGGGAATTCGGTGCACTCTTTTTTCCTCATTAGAATTTTTTCCCACAGGGTTTTTTCTAATGGAGTTTTTAACGAGGCATCCCCCCAAAATGAAACGAAAAGTGTCAACCTTCGGCCACATACAACAGCAGGCAATACCCTACTCCTTTTCACCACTTCACAAGTGCCTCAAGGAGTGGGGGACTGGAGAACCCCTTCGGGAAAATCTCAAAATATCAAAATCTCCACAAAGTAGCAACACAACCCTTCGAATCCCAAAATGTGGGGGACTGAGGGACTGCCTTCGGCAAAAACTTTCAAACAGAGAACTCCTCACAACTTTACAAGCTACAACGGAACAACGACAGAGGACAAACACAAATTACTCCTTTTCCCTAAAGTACCTTTCGGCAAAAGGAGTGAGGGACTCCTGATGGAGTATATGGCCCGGGACCCCCGGCCCATAGATTCCTACTATCCTAATAAAAGCCCAAGAGGCCCAGGAAGCACAGCAGGCCCAAATCGCAGCGCCCCGGGTACCAAGCAACCCATGGAGCACACAGGGGTGCCTTCGCCCCCCTGGCCGAAGGCTCCGAATTCTCACAAAAAGACTATTTTTAGCATACAAAGCTACTGGGAGAAAACGGCGAAAAATAGTAGCCCTCGGTACCTGGAGCCCTCTGCCTTAAGGGGCCTTCGACAAGAAGAGCCCTCGGCTAATCATCTACGGCCGAGGGTACCTTCCTCGACAATAATATCTTCTCCACATGCGCATGGGTCGCCGTACCAAGTACAACGTCACATCCAACCGCCGCATTAAATGTGGCCACATGCGAATGCCAGTGATACCCGGTTGATGTGACCTCTCGGCCGTTGGATGCTTGACATGTGTCCCCTGTTTCGCATTTATTGCTACTATAAGTAACACCCCATTTCCCCTTTGTAAATCATATTCTGAATACGCTGAGTTCACATTGAATACATATTCTCTCTCTTATTTGTTTGCTCTAACTTCTCTCTAGTTACTCCCCGCAGTAACCCCTCGAATATATACACCCGGGTACACTATCCATCAACACTTAGTAAGGAAGAAAAATATGGATCCATTATTTTTTCGTTGGTCATTTAAGTTTACTTTTACTCAAATTGCTTTTAAGAAGATGTAATAATGAACTATTGTGAGATTATTTTATACTCCCTCCGTCCCTTAAAACTTTGCCATCTTTCCTTTTTAGAACGTCCCAAAAAACTTTGTCACTTTCCCTTTTAATCAATTATTTTGTGTTTTCTGTTATTTCTCGCACAAATCTCAACCATACAGTTTTTACTTTATTATTCTCCGTGCCGGTCAACTTTGACAAAGTTTTAAGAGACGGAGGTAGTAGTTTTCTAAATCTTGTTTTATTAAAAAAAGGGATATTTTGACTTTGCACTCCGCTTTTTGGGTGATATTGGACTTTGCACCCCATTTTTAAAACTCTTAGACTTTGCACCATATTTGCCCTAAAATGTCTTTGCCTTTGCACCCCATTCAGGAATTTTTCTTCACAAAATGTTGTAGATAGAGTGCAAAATTTAAAAGTTTTGAAAATAGGATGCAAAAGTCCTATATCACCCAAAAAGCACATACTCGACCTTCCCCTAGAAAAAATAGAATGGGTTCCTAAGATGAAATTCCTAATTTGCAGGAACGGGAGTCACTGAATCCTTTCCGCTGACCAGAATCAACGCTTTCCTACCAAATTTCATCCAAAGTAACTGATAAACTCTACAGAAAGGAAGAAGCTTATCTTTTTCTTGAATACGTACTGCGTATATGGCCGTCCGCTTCATTTCCGTCCCACGCTTCCCCTGCAAATCAGCTTGTGGCACAAAAACTTGGCCAGTTTCCCCATCCTCTCCCACGCATTTCATTAATCTTAAAAAGACACTATTTTTTGCTGGTTCTTCTATCGATGCTTCAAATTCCAGGTCCCTCTTTATCTTAATATCGCACAAAATCCATTGAAGAACTGCAAAAAGTAGTTTATGATGTTATATTGCCTTTATTTGCAATTGCTTGCAGGATGACCATGGGCATACCGGCAATGGTTTCAGAGAAAAAATCGGTGGACTCTGGCATTGATTTCTTCAAATTGACTTACTTAGAGGTTGGAATTCTTTTTACATCCACCGAAAGGATTTTCTGATTCATTTATCACTTTACAGTTCTACGTTGGTGTGGGATATCTAGTTTAATTCTCAAGTCTAATTAGGGAAATAGTTGGTTGTGGGAAGTAGGAGGGGTGAAAATATTGGTGGATCCAATTTTGGTAGGTAATTTGGATTTTGGAATTCCATGGCTTTATGATGCTGCCAAGAAGTTTTTGAAGAATTTCCAGGTACTGTTTACTGTTTCTTATTATTGCTAATTTGAGACACTTATTACTTCACATATTTCATTTCTGTGTTTATTTATTCTTGAATTTGGACTGAAAGTCAGTAACTTAGATTTGTGTCATGCGATTTTAGAGCAGATTAATGATCTCCCAGAAGTCGATTGTATACTGATTACACAAAGCCTTGATGATCATTGTCATCTCAAGACCTTAAGGCCCCTCTCTCACAAGTCACCAAATGTCAGAGTTATTGCAACTCCTAATGCGAAGTCCCTGCTGGATCCCCTTTTTAAGAACGTGCGTGCTGCATTAACACATGTGTTCTTTATGTTTCTGCATTTTGAACATTATGTTAATTCAGATAGATTGTTATTGTAAGAGAGGATGTGGTTTGTTTGAGATACAATTATACAGATGTATAATAATATAAATAATAAATGTGAAGTTCAAATGTCAGCTTATGTGTTTCAGTGAGATAGATTGGATCCTTTTTCTATATCAGTTCTTTTTAGAGTTCTTGAAAGAACAAATGTCTTTGTTGGACAGATGGATTGGTTAGTGGTTTTGGCAAGTTGATGGTAAAAAAATATTTGGTAAAATTAGGTGTTCGTAAATAGTTTTTCTAGATAAAATAGCATATATTTACATTTTGGCTTATCAGCCACTTACAAACATAGCCTATCTTGTATCTTGTTCTTTCTTTTCTACATTATGAACTAATTAGTTCGTTTCAACAATGGTTGCGGAATATGCAGGTCACATACTTGGAACCTGGTCAGGCCTATGACATTGAAGCAAGCAATGGCTTTAAAGTTAATGTGAAAGCAACTGCCGGGCCAGTTCTTGGTCCTCCTTGGCAAAGACCTGAGAATGGGTATATGTTATTGTAGCTTCTTTTGAATCTATGGCAATTGTGATCTTATTTTTCTCTAACTGTTCATGTGCCCCAGCAGTTATCTCGTAACTTCTCCACACGATGTGCTTACTTTATATTACGAACCACATTGTATATACAACAAGACCTTCTTGGAGAAAGAACATGCAGATATTGTTATTACTCCTGTTATAAAGCAAATTTTACCAAGCTTTACATTGGTTTCTGGACAAGAGGATGCCGTTCAGCTGGCAAAGCTTCTCTCTGCCAAGTAAGATGCACACCAGCTCCAAGTTCACGAACAGATGCAGCCCCTTTGGGGTGATTTATATGTTAGAACTTGGCATGCAGCTGCAGGTTTATCCATTGAGCACTGGTGGCAGGCTCCACCAGTGGACCTTGGAGTTTCTGGGATATAGAAAAAGTTGCATACCATGTCAAAGAATTCAATTGAATTAGAAACATACAATGATTTATAAATAAGCACCCTTTGTGTGGTTGATTTTTTACAGGTTCATAGTAGCCATGAGAAATGGTGACCTTGATAGCACAGGAATTCTTTCTCGTATTGTCAAGGCTGAGGGAACGATGGAATCCTTCAAGGTATGAATATTCAACTCAAATACGCACTCCACTTTTATTCATGTTGTCCAATAGGGGTTTAATGGAGTTTAAGAGTAAAATAGTAGAGTAGTGAACTACTGAACTGTAGGAGTCAAAAGATGAAGATGTGAAGCTATTTATGTACTTTGATATTATAAAAGTTGCCAAGTTAGGGCAGAGCAAATAATAAAACTCCTCTAAGAAGAATATGGAGCAGGGGGACTATAAGATAAGTTGCCTGGGAAATGATGTGTAAATACTTCATTTATAGGGGTATTTGTAAAAGATGTTGAGTAATGAGCCAAACTATTCAAGATAAAATAACATTCTAAAATTTGAATACATTTGCTAATTGATGTTAATATGTACGGTTGCACACAATAGTTTTGATCCCAACTTAATTCTTCGGAAACACCTCTCTAAAAGGAAAGGCCTGCGTGAAATGCATCCTTCATTTCTTTTTTTTTATTGAGGAAACTTTCTCAGAACGTTTCTATATATACGGAAAAGATCATCAGAAAAAAGGATGACACTCATCCATGTGGCTTTGAAATGGGCCAAACAGTTATCTGGGATGATGTAAATTGAGCTTTGATCACACACTGGTGGAAAGAGAGTGGAGTTCCAGTCCAAGTTTTTGCTTGGAGTTGAACCAGAACTTCTCTCTTGTGATACCTTCTTCTTACCAAGTGAGCTACACCCTGGCAATACGGTCTTGAAATGTTTATGCAAGAGGTATCATGTTGAAATGTCAAACGCTAATCCCACCAGTTTTGTGCATCGTAGAGTGTAGATGTACTAGGAGACTAATTAGATGTGCTAGATGTTGGGGTGTAGGCTTCAGCCCACTAAGATCTGGGAGCTAAATAAACAAGGAGCAGTAGCCTGCCCTAGCTAGATGTGCAGCCACCCTAGTTGGGCCTGTAATTTGGTGGCAGTCAGGCCCAGAGTTTAATTAATAGTTTACCCTAATTGTTTGCCTATATATTGACTCCCGTACTTGTAAAAAACCGACTGTATTTTTTATCACCTCAATAAGAAAGAAAACCCTAGTTGCCCCCGTGGATTAGGTCAGTAACATTTAGTGGCTGAACCACATTAAATTCTTGTGTCGTTCTTCTCGTTTTCTTTCTTTCTACTATTTTTCAGATTTGTGTGTGTGAGCGCTAGAGATTCTAACCCTAACAACTAGTATCAAAGCCCATGCTTGTTTGGTTACACTCTAGCAGAAACCCTAACTGCAGAAACCCTAGCCGTCCATCCCCAGATGCTGCACCTGCGCCGACTGCTGCAAAACTGTTGTTCAGTGATGGAAGAAGACGGTAAGGTCAAAATAGACAAGTTTGAGGGCCATGATTTTGGTTTCTGGAAGATGCAAATCGAGGACTACCTATACCAAAAGAAGCTACATGAACCCTTGTCTGGTACTAAACCCACAGAGATGCCTCAAGCCGAATGGGATTTGCTTGACCATCAAACATTGGGTGTGGTTAGTTATCATTTGCAAAGAACGTTGCGTACAACATTTTCAATGAAAACACTACTCATGGATTACTCAAAGCGTTGTCGAACATGTATGAAAAACCTAGTGCGTCAAATAAGATTTTTCTGATTAGACAATTGGTGAATACGAAGATGAAGGAAGGAGCATCAGTTGCCCCAGAGTTGGTCATGAACGGTCACAACAGTTAGTAGTTCAACTGGAAATACTAAGCTTACGTTCAATGGGATTCAAGATCTCATTCTGGGAGAAGATATCTGTAGGAGAAATTCAGGTGAATACTCCGGTTCTTTGTTAAGCACTGAAGGCAGGCACAGGAAAACTGACAGAGGGCATAGTAAAGGAAGAGGTAGATCGAAATCCAGAAAAAGAGGGCAGTCAAAGACCAGGATGGACATCACGTGCTGGAATTGCAAAGAAATCGGTCACTGTAGAAATCAGTTTTCGGCGGGTAATAAGAAAGCTGGGCAGGGTGCAAACGTTGCTGCTGAAAGTCCAGATGATGCACTAATTTATTGTGTTGACAGTCCTATTGAATCATGGATCATGGATTCAGGTGCTTCATTTCATGCATCACCTTGCATGGAAACGATGAGGAATTTAAAGCCTGGTAGTTTCGGTAAAGTCCGACTTGCAGATTATGAAACCTTATCACGGGCACGGGAGATGTGATTCTCAAAACTTCCCTTGGCACAAATTGGATGTTGAAGGATGTGAGATATATTCCAGGACTCAAAAGAATGTTAATTTCAATTGGGCAGTTGGATGATCAAGGTTATCACGTTGTCTTTGGAAATGGCTAGTGGAAAGTGGTTAAGGGCAGTCTGGATATCTCTCGTGGTTAAAAAGGTTATACATGATGGAAGTACCGGTAGATGGAATAAATGTAGCTGTGGATGATTCTAATATGTGGCATCAAAGACTTTGGGCACATGAGTGAGAAATGAATGAAGATGATGGCTTCAAAGGGGAAGATTCCAAACCCGAAGAATGTGGCAGTTGGTTTCTGTGAGCCGTGTGTCTACAGTAAGCAGAAAAAAGTCACCTTTTCAAGATCGGGAACGACAATGAAGACTCAGAAGTTGGAGCTAGTTCACTCAGATGTCTATGGACCCGTATCAGTTGCTTCAATAGGAGGATCAAGATACTACATCACCTTCATTGATGACTCCACCAGAAAGGTATGGGTTTATTTAATGAAGAATAAATCTGATGTATTTGTTACCTTTAAAAGGTGGAAAGCTGCTGTTGAAAATGAAACTGATTTAAAAGTCCAAGTGTTTAAAGTCAGATAATGGGGTGAGTACAACAACACATATTTTGTTGATTTTTGTGCCGAGAACGGAATCAGAATGCTGAAAACAGTTCCAGAAACACCCCAGCAAAATGGGGTCGCGGAAAGGATGAACAGAACTCTTTGTGAGAGAGCAAAAGGCATGAGGCTACACGCAGGTCTACCAAAGATGTTCTGGGCAGATTCTCTCAACACGGCAGCATACTTAATCAATCGTGGACTCTCAGTTCCCATAGGGTTCAAGATTCCTGAAGAAGAATGGCGAGGTTGAGAGGTATCACTTACTCACTTAGTATTTTGTTGTGTTGCCTACATCAGGATCAAGGATGCAGACAGAGACAAACTCGAGGCAAAGGTGAAGAAATGCATCTGTATAGGCTACGGTTTGGATGACATGGGCTATCGCTTCTGGGATCATCACAACAAAAAGGTTATTTGAAGCTGATATGTGCCATTCAATGAGAATGCCATGTACAAAGCAAGATGCTAGAAAGAAAGGATCAAGTGGTATTTGATGAGATTTCAGAACAAGACATTGTGAAACCTGTCAGTGCTTCAGAAAGTGGTCAGAGTTCAAGAAATAGTGGGAGCTCGAAGGAGAATGGGGGATCTGGAAACAGTGAAAACACAGAGGATATTGAGAGTTCAGATACTGAGACGATTGACAGTGAAACTCCAATAACATGGGTTAGAAGATCCACCAGAGTTACTAGACGTCCTCAGAGATTCTCCCCCTCAGCAAATTATTTGCTATTGACTGAAAATGGTGAGCCAGAATGCTATTCAGAAGCTTTGAAGATTACTTGGTAGGAATGAAGAAATGAGCTCACTTGATAAGAATTAGACTTGGAAATTGGTAAGATTACTTGCAGGAAAGAAAGCTTTACAAAATAAATGGGTATTCAGGGTCAAAGATGAGATTGACGGCAACAAGAGGTACAAGGCTCGATTGGTTGTCAAAGGTTTCCAACAAAAGAAAGGAGTGGATTATAATGCGATCTTCTCCCCAGATGTGAAGATGACCACGATCAGATCAATCTTGAGTATTGTGGCCGCTGAAGACTTGCATCTAGAGCAGCTGGATGTCAAGACAACTTTCTTACATGGACATCTTGGTGAAGATATTTACATGATGCAACTAAAGGGTTTTGAGACAGCTGGGAAAGAAAACTTGGTTTGCAAACTGAAGAAAAGCCTGTACGGGTTGAAGCGAGCACCAAGGCAGTGGTACATGAAGTTTGACAATTTTATGAAAAGGAGCGGATATGCGAAATGCCTTATGGATCATTGTTGCTACTTGAAGAAATTCAAATCCTCCTACATCATCCTGCTGTTATATGTTGATGATATGTCGGTTGTAGGACTAGACATGAGACAAATCAACAAGCTGAAGAAACAATTATCTCAGGAATTTGAGATGAAAGACTTGGGAGCTGCGAAGCAGATCCTTGGTATGAGCATCGCTAGAGATAGAGCAGATTGAACCCTGAAGTTATCTCAAGAAAAATACATTGGGAAGGTGCTAGAAAAGTTCAATCTGAAAGATGCTAAAGCCGGAAGTACACCTTTGGGAAGTCAGTTTAAACTTAGAAGCAATCACCTAAAACGGATAAAGACAAGGAAGAAATGAAAAAGGTTCCTTATGCATCAGTAGTTGGCAGTTTGATGTATGTTATGGTTTGCGCAAGACCAGACATTGCTCATGCGGTGGGAGTAGTTAGCAGATTTATGTCAAATCCGGGAAAGGAGCATGGGAAAGTAGTCAAGTGGTTACTACGCTACTTGAAGGGCACATCTGAGATACCATTATGTTTGGGTGGTTGTCAAGATTCTCGTAAGAGCACTACTGGTTATGTGATCACAATGGGAGGAACTGCTATTAGTTGGATGTCCAGGCTTCAGAGCAATGTTGCTCTCGCAACCACCGAGGCAAAATATATGGCAATTGCAGAAGCAAGCAAAGAGCTTGTATGGTTGAAGAACTTCATGTTGGAGTTGGGCTTTGAACAGAAAGATAGTGTTGTGCATTGTGACAATCAGAGTGCGATTCATCTCGCAAAGAATCTGGTGTTTCAAAGTCGAACTAAGCACATCAAGATGAAGTATCATTTTATCAGGAGTTGATAAATGATGGAGAGAGTTGATAAATGATGGAGAGTTGCTACAGACGAAGATTCTTGCTACAACGAATCCTGCTGATATATTTACTAAGGTGGTGACAACTGAGAAGTTGAAGATTTGCATGGCTTCAATTGGCCTTCAAGAATAATGTTGAGAAGGCAGCGGTAACTAGGTGGAGCTAGAGAATAGGTTGTGTTTACAGAAGTACAAAGGAGTGGAGTGGAGTGCAGCTGATCATGTTTCGAAGCCTCCAAGTGGGAGATTGTTGGGTGTAGGCTTCAGCCCACTTAGATCTGGGAGCTAAATAAACAAGTAGTAGCCGGCCATAGCTAGATGTGCGGCCAGCCCTAGTTGGGCATGTTTTTGGTGGCAGTCAAGCCCTGAATTTAATTAATAGTTTACCCTAATTGTATGCCTATATATTGACTCCAGTACTTGTAAACAACTGACTGTATTTTTCATCACCTCAATAAGAAAGGAAACCCTAGTTGCCCCCGTGGATTAGGTCAGTAACATTTAGTGGCTGAACCACGTTAAATTCTTGTGCCATTCTTCTCGTTTTATTTCTTTCTACTATTTTTCAGATTTGCATGTGTGAACGCTAGAGATTCTAACCCTAACCCTAACCTTATATGCCACCCAAATGTTGGACAAACACCTAGTCAAATATAAAACTCTACTCTTTCCCATGTTCCCTCTATTGTCACTTGAAATATATCAATGCAACGTTTACACAAGTCACATGTATTTTATAATCTTTGATGATGGGCAGCCATAATGGCTTTGAAATTTTATCTTCAATACATATGATGCAGGATATTTTGTCAAAGGAATTGCCATTTGCAACGGTCCTTGAGCCTACACCCGGTGTGCCTATGGATATATTAATCCCTCCCATAAATGAACAATCCTAATCATGGCATTACCCGTCTTCCATTCGTAATGCAAATAGTTCCATGAATACAATTTGTATTTGTAATTATTCTGTGCATACGTGGATAGTGCATGTTACCCATGGATTGTGCTGGAGTTGGGAACTTCATCCAGTGGTGTCAATTTTATAAGATTAGTTCTTTTGAATTGAATCTTACTCTTTGATTTTAGTGATTTTGTCTGAAATTGTCTAATCAGGTTTGATATCATATAAGTTCTATTACTATACCACACCCATTCTTAACTAAATGATACCAAGTAGTAGATTTTATAGAGATTAATTTTGTTTGCAGGGGTAAAGAATGAGGCGGTATAAAAACTATGAAAGAGTAGAACAAAAAGTAAAAAATAGGAAACAGTACAAAAATGGATTTTTCCCTTGAATACTACAAAAAGTGAGTACATTCATATATGGATACAATTGACTTCATTCATAAAAAGTGGCTTACAAGAGTAAAAACTGTAAAATTATGTTTCTCAATATCAATTTATTTTGTCAATGAGTTTTTTTATGTTACTACCAGTGTCAAACATGTCCATGATGGTTGGTAGAACCTATTGGTGATTTTTTTGCGGTGATTTGTTCAAAAAAAAGGATGACATGTTTAATCACTAGCTCTGTCGATACCAGTGATTTTTTGAAGTGACGAGGAAGGGAGGTAGTTGGGTAGAGGTTGGAAGGAGAAAGTTTTGAATTTATGCAGTCACATGTTTTGAAAAGATTAAAGTTAGTCACATTTTTGTTTTTATAAAGTAAGAAGTCGTATTTATGTACTTGTTCCACAAAATGAAAAACTAAGAAAGAGAATATGAAAAAGTTAAGTAAATGTTTTCAAAAAATGAGTCAAATAATAAAAACTGTTAAAAAAGGAAAACCAGAAAAGGAACAATATATTTCCCCTTGCATCTCAAAATAAAGTAATTGTTATAAAATGAAGAAGATGAAGACTAAATTTGAGAGATAGATATATTAATAAAAGTTTTAAATATCTTCTTCTTAATATCTGAGAAGTTCTGAATTTCTGAATGAATTTACAATGCCTCATCAAGCTCCTATTTATACTGTTTGAACTTGATGATTAGTCACTTAAGGGATGAATCTACAGATTTGGTGGCAATAACAATTTGAGCCATCTGTTCTAACTAGGTTACAAGGACTAAACATAATTTCTGGATTGATGACAAGGATGAACAATTCACACTTGTCATTTCCAGGATTTTACAACACTCCCCCTTGAATGTTCATCCTTGAATAGTTGTCTATTATTTTAAAAACTTATTGTGAAAATTAAGGGGTAAAAATTACGACTTATAATGTCGTTGTATTTGGATGTACTGTCTCGTTAAAAACCTTATCAGGAAAAACCCAGTGGGATAAAAACCTGATGAAGGGAAAAAGAGTGCAGTGCATTCAAATACTCCCCCTGAATTTAGTATAAATTATGAAGATGTCGCATGCCGATTTTCTGTACAAGTTCCATGAACTTCTTCGGGGGTAAAGATTTGGTGAAGAGATCGGCTGGATTTTCACTGGATCTGATTTGTTGAATGTTGATCGTCCCTTCTTTCTCGAGATCATGAGTAGAGAAGAACTTTGGTGATATGTGTTTTGTTCTGTCTCCTTTGATGTAGCCTTCTTTAATCTGAGCTATGCACGCAGTGTTGTCTTCGTAGATCACAGTAGGATGACAATTAATAGATTTCATACCGCATTCATTTTGGATGTGTTGAATCATAGATCGTAGCCACACACATTCTCTTCCGGTTTCATATAGTGCAATTAACTCAGAATGATTTGACGATGTAGCTGTCAATGTCTGCTTCATAGATCTCCATGAGATTGCGGTGTTACCATAAGTAAATACGTACCCGGTTTGTGATTTCGCCTTTTGAGGATCTGATAAGTATCCAGCGTCTGCATATCCGATTAAAGCAGCTTTTTCATCTTTGTGGTAGAATAAGCCAAGATCAACTGTACCACGTAGATAACGGAATATGTGCTTGATCCCGTTCCAATGACGTCTTGTTGGGCATGAACTGTACCTAGCTAATAAATTTACGGAGAATGCAATATCTGGTCTAGTATTATTAGCTAAATACATTAAAGCTCCCATAGCACTCAGATATGGTACTTCGGGACCAAGTATTTCTTCATCATCTTCTCGGGGACGGAATGGATCATCGTGTATGTTGAGAGATCGAATCACCATTGGTGAAGTCAAAGGATGAGCTTTGTCCATATAGAATCTCTTCAAAACTTTCTCGGTGTAATTGGATTGATGGATGAAAATTCCATTCTTCAAATGCTCAATTTGAAGTCCGAGACAAAATTTGGTTCTCCCTAGATCTTTCATTTCAAATTCTTTCATAAGATACTTTGCAGTATTTTCAATCTCATCGGGAGTTCCAATAATATTTAAGTCATCAACATATACTGCAATTATGACGAATCCCAAATTTAATCGCCGGATGAAAACACATGGACTAATTGGATCATTCTTATATCCTTCCTTAAGAAGGTATTCACTGAGACGATTATACCACATTCGTCCAGATTGTTTTAGTCCATACAATGACTTTTGTAGTTTAATGGAAAACATTTCTCGAGGTTTCGAGCTATAAGCTTCAGGCATTTTAAATCCTCCGGGAACTTTCATATAAATGTCTGTATCGAGTGAACCGTATAAATATGCAGTTACTACATCCATTAGGCGCATTTGCAGCCTTTCAAAAACAGACATGCCAATGAGAAACCTTAATGTAGTTGCATCAACTACTGGAGAATAGGTTTCTTCATAATCAATTCCCGGCATTTGAGAAAACCCTTGGGCAACAAGTCGGGCTTTATATCTTACAATTTCATTTTTCTCATTGCGTTTACGCACAAATACCCATTTAAAGCCTACTGGTTTTACGCCTTTTGGCGTAGGGACTATCGGTCCAAAAACATCACGTTTTTCAAGTGATTTCAATTCAGCCTGAATTGCTTCATTCCATTTTGGCCAATCGTGTCGTTTCCGACATTCTTCTATTGATGTTGGCTCATTGTCATTGTTTTCATTCATAACATTTGTGGCAACGGCATAGACAAATATCTCATTAATATCAATATCTTTACGATTCCATTGCATTCCAGTAGAAACATAGTTTATTGAAATTTCATAATTATCAACGTTTCTATCATTATCTGGAATATCTTCCTCATTTAAGGAAGTTGGATCATCATTTGAGATATTTGTTTTGTCAATATCATTTTCTATTCCAATATTTTCAAATTGTTCATTTTCTTGTTCAGAAGGAAGAACATCTTTGGCATCACAGATCGATTCCTGCCTTTTAGTTTTTCTTGGTTTTATATCTTTCGATCCAAGTGGCCTGCCACGCTTTTTGCGTATAGAAGAATCGTTTGCAAAAGATTTTTCGGAATTCTCTGTTGGGATTTCGATTCTGGCAGGGGCATTCATGGCAGGAATATGTGACTTTGTCACTTTCTTTGTGTCTGTAAATGCATCAGGCAACTGATTTGCAACATTTTGTAAATGGATTATTTTTTGCACCTCTTGCTCACATATATTTGATTTTGAGTCAAGATATGATAATCCTGTTGCATTCCATGTTATTTCTTTCGTACTTGGGTCCGATTTATTAGTTTCTCCCCCTAAGGTTGGGAATACTGTCTCATTGAAATGACAGTCAGCGAACCGTGCGGTGAATAAGTCACCAGTCATCGGTTCAAGATATTTGATTATTGACAGAGATTCAAATCCAACATAAATTCCCAACCTTCTTTGAGGACCCATTTTTGTACGATAAGGTGGAGCAATCGGAACATAAACAACACAACCAAATATTTTAATGTGTGCTAAGTTTGGCTCTTTTCCAGTAACTAATTGCATTGAAGAATATTCATGATATGCAGTCGGTCTAAGCCGAATTAAATTTGCTGCATGTAAAATAGCATGTCCCCAAGCTGATGAAGGTAAATTACACTTCATTAATAATGGTCTAGCGATTAATTGTAATCGTTTAATCAAAGATTCAGCAAGACCATTTTGTGTATGGACATGAGCAACAGGATGCTCCACATCAATCCCAATCGACATACAATAGTCGTTAAATGATTGGGATGTAAATTCTCCTGCATTGTCAAGTCGGATTCTCTTTATAGAATGATCCGGAAAATGAGCTCTTAATCGAATGATTTGAGCAAGGAGTTTAGCAAATGCTAAATTTCTAGTCGATAAAAGACTAACATGTGACCAACGTGTTGAAGCATCAATCAACACCATAAAATATCGAAATGGTCCACATGGTGGGGCTATCGGCCCACAAATATCTCCTTGAATCCTTTCTAAAAATGCAGGTGATTCAGTTGCAATTTTGTTCATAGAAGGCCTGATGATCATTTTGCCAAGAGAACAGGCCTTACAAGGAAAATAACTTGATAATGGAACCCTGATATTCTTTAATGGGTGTCCAAGTGAGGTCTTAATGATTTTATGCATCATTACTTGGCCTGGGTGACCTAAACGATCATGCCACAACATGAATGTTTTCTGATCATCTAACTTTGTGTTAGAAACCAAATTTACTTCAAATGAACTAATATATGTGAAATATAGTCCTGAGGAATATGCTGGCATTTTTTCACAAATATATTTAGTGCCAGATTTAGTTGTTGTAAGACAAATATATTCCTTTTGGTTTTCATTCATGGTTTCTATGTGATAACCATTTTGACGCATATCTTTAAAACTCAATAAATTCCTCCGCGATTTGCTGGAGTATAGAGCGTCATTTATAATTATTTGTGTCCCGTTAGGGAGCATCACATATGCTTTCCCAGAGTCTTCAATGAGCTTTGCAACACCTGATATGGTATTGACTTTAGCTTCAACTAAAGTCATTTGAGAAAAATATATTTTATTTCTCAAAATGGTGTGCGTTGTGGCGCTGTCTATCAGACATAGCTCTTTATCATTTGAGTGATCCATATCTTCAATATGTGCAAATAAACATAAGCTTGATCACAAATTGTACATATAATTTAACACAAAGTATATATATTACACATATTTATTTAAAAACAAAAGAAAAAAGGGGAAGAAAGAAAAAGTACATAAAACTAATATGTTACAATATAAGGATTAGAGTCTAATATTTTATTTTGTGACATTTTGATTTATTGCAAAAGCATCGTCCATAATGGCATCATTCACGAAGAAGTCGGGCACATCAAATTTTGTCAGAGGTGGAGTTGTGTCATTAACATAATTAGTTTCCACATTTTTGTCTTTGTTCAGATTCATGGAAACTTGAAATAACTCCACCAGATGTTTAGCCGTGCGACATTTATTAGCCCAGTGCCCCGTCATGCCACATTTATAACAAGTCGTTTTTACTGAGGTTTTTGTAGGGCGATTTATTTGATGAGCTTTTTGTTTGCCCTTGCCCTTGTAATTCGGTCTTTCGACCCGTTTATATCCTCTGTAATACTTGTTATTATGACCACTAAAATGCCCACGTTTAAAATGCCTTCTACTGCCACTGTGTGTTGCATTTGATTCAGTGGCTAAATTATGGCCAGATGGACCATAAATCGAAGGACTAGAACCGGTGGGTCTCAAATTGTGGTTTTTCATCAAAAGATCATTGTTTTGCTCAGCTACCAATAATACTGATATTAAGTCAGAGTAGTTTTTAAAACCCTTTTCTCTATATTGCTGTTGTAGCAGCATATTAGAGATATGCATAGTAGAAACGGTTTTCTCCAACATATCAGCGTCAGTGACTTTTTGTCCACATAACTTTAATTTGGATGTTATTTGGAACATAGCAGAATTATAGTCACTGATAGATTTAAAGTCCTGGAATCTTAAATTGATCCAGTCATACTGAGCTTTTGGTAAAAGTACCTTTTGTTGGTGGCCATACCTCTCTTGTAAATTGTCCCATAATTCTTTTGGATCATCAACCAAAAGATATTCAGATTTGAGACTTTCATGGAGGTGGTGACGGAGGAAAATTATAGCTTTCGCTTTATCCTGGGAAGATGATTGATTAATAGCCTCAATAGTGTCTTCGAGACCATTAGCCTTCAAATGTGCTAAAGCATCAACTTTCCATTCCAAATATTTTTGACCGGACAAATCAAGAACGTCGAATTCTCTTTTGCTTATGTTTGCCATGATTTACTGCAGGAGATGATGATTTCTTGAAGGTTTTGAGCAGATTCGTGCTGATAACGTGTTATAAAATGAAGAAGATGAAGACTAAATTTGAGAGATAGATATATTAATAAAAGCTCTAAATATCTTCTTCTTAATATCTGAGAAGTTCTGAATTTCTGAATGAATTTACAATGCCTCATCAAGCTCCTATTTATACTGTTTGAACTTGATGATTAGTCACTTAAGGGATGAATCTACAGATTTGGTGGCAATAACAATTTGAGCCATCTGTTCTAACTAGGTTACAAGGACTAAACATAATTTCTGGATTGATGACAAGGATGAACAATTCACACTTGTCATTTCCAGGATTTTACAACAGTAATCAATTAGTTAAACTGGAAAATTGATAAATTAGAGGTACATCTATAAATGGAAGCAATTTGTGAGAGCATATGTTTTTATCTCTTTTTTTTAGTTCACAATGTGTTGGTTGATCTTTGTCCTCCAAATCCATTGTACTTCAAATGTATGATTAGAGTTGGCAAAGGAACTTGTCCTATTGGCTCCCATTTTATTTGGGGCGATTTTTTTATTACCATGTACTAATCTTGAACAGTTTAAAAATATAATGGGTCGGAAAAGGTAAAATATGTCTCATTTCATCTTGTTGTTGAGGTGATTTGGAGGTTGTATCAACTCTGCTTTACCAACAAGTATTTATCTACAATTGTAAGTTGCAAGTTTGACTCTAATTTGTAATGAAATAATTACTATACATATACGAATCACATACACAAAAAAATGGATCACACATAGTCGTAAGTTACAACGTACAGCCGGTTGTACCTAGGGCATGGTACAACCGTTTTTTTTGTAATTACTGCAACTTTGAGCTTGATCTTCGTCCTTCCCATTTGTTTCGTCCTCTTCTCCCTTTTGTTCATCTCTTTCGTCTGTACCACATTCAACATCAATTCTCTCCATCTGAAGATTTCCGTTTGGTTGTCGATGCAAGTAAGATTCCCGTCCGGTTTTCTTTGCATTTTTATTATCTTATTGATTCATATTTTGTTCCAATCTTGAAAAGTACAATTTGTTATTGCAGTGATAAATTTTCTTCTTTGATGTTTCCATCTTCGATCTTACTTCCTGTTCTTCTTCTACAGCTTTCGTCGTTCTCCTCATCTTTATTACTACTATTTACTTCTGTTGCTTCTTGCGCAACTTTCGTCATATTTACAGGTTTAGGTTTTTGCAGTTGTTCTCAATTTCAACCACTGAAGTGTAAGTAAGTTTAGGTTATTTTCTTCTCAATTGCAGGTTTAGGTTTAGGTTATTTTCTTCTCTTGTTGGAACAAAATCATTTTTTGTTCATTCAGTTGATATTTTTTTTGTTGCAGCATTTTGTTTTATTCAAAAATTGATGTTATGTCTAGTTCTGGAGGTAATTTTTGAAGGAACACATTCACTATATTTGATTTATTTTGCTGAGTATTTATTTACCTAGTAATGATTATCTGGTTTTTTGTTTTGATTTGTGATCCCCTGTCTAGATGGTAATTCTTACAATGGCAAATTAATAGGGGATATTGAGGCGAGAGACGAACTTTTTGAAGTTGATTGCAGTAATATTTTCTCTCTTTGCAAGTCACATAGTGTTGTTGTTTGATCTGTGTTGTTTACTTTGATATATTATTACTTATCTGTGCATTTTTATGGATTCAGATTACTTGGATTCTGGTGATACCTTAAGTGAAGAATTCTTGTCAAGAACTGAATTAATCTATTCCTATCCTACCAAGTAATTTGTTTTCGTACGTTTTATTACTTCGTTATGTTTTTTTGTATTCAAATTTTAATTTTTTTTTGCAGTTCAAAATTCTTCTACTTTTGTTGATGTAGACCAAACTGATGAGCCTGTGCATGTTGAAACTATATCAGTTAAGGAAGCTGAAATTTCTGAACTATTGGGTAAAACAGTTTTTTCAGAAAAAGAGGCATTTGAGCTATATAATGACTATGCTTATAGAATTAGATTTGGTGTTCGTTATTCTACTTTGAGAAAGAGAGGTAGTGGTGTTGGTTTTAGAGGAAGGGAACTTTGTTGAACGAAACAAGGTTTGAAAAGGAATAAAGGTGTTGTAGGTAAACAATATACAAAAGTTGATAGATGCACTGGTTGTAAGACAAAAGTATATTTTGAGATAAAACCTACTGGTGAGTTGGTTGTTGTTAGGCATGATATGGTTCATAATCACCAATTTTTCCCTGATTCTTTAGTTCATCATGTTAGATCTCATCGTGTTGTTTCTTCAAGCGAGTTAGACTATTTGCAACATTTAAAAAATAAAGGAGTTAAGATAGCAGATGGTTTTCATTACTTGCAAGCAAAAGCTGGTGGATCTCCTTCTAATGGTTTTCTTTTGCGTGACGCTTATAATGAGTTGACAAAAAAGACTAAAAAAACTTTTGATGGTTGTGATGCCAATACACTGATTAATATTTTTAAGAACAGACATGCAAATGAAGAAGTTTTTTTTAGGTTGATTTGGATGGTTCTTTGGCTAGCTTTTTTTGGAGAGATAAGAAAATGAGAGAAGAGTATACTGCATTTGATGAATTGGTTATTCATGATACGACTTATTGCACCAACAAGTATGACATGATTTGTGGACCGTTTGTTGGTGTTAACTCTCACACTCATACTTGCATGTTTTGTTGAATGAGAGAATTGAGTCATTTGAATGGCTTTCTAATATGTTTTTGGAATCTATGGATTCTGTCCATCCAAGAACTATTATAACAGATCAATCTGCCGCCATGGTTGCTGCAATTTCTAAGGTTTTTCCTCTCTCCAAGCATCGTCTTTGTATATGGCATATCATTGAAAATTCTAAGAAACATATACGTGATTTGAGGAATCAAGAGGGATTCTTAGATTTGTTTGATCATGTTCTAAAACTGTGTCACACTATTGCTGAATTTGATTATTACTGGAATAAGTATGTTTCATTGTCACTATATTTTATTTTATTTTTTTCACGTTTACATTAATATTTTTTTATGAGTATTTATTACATTAAGAATGAGTAACAAGTTGTACGAAATGATTATTATTGTTAATGCATTGTCTTTTATTTTGTAAAATGATCTCTGATGACAATTGCTTTGATAATCCTTGGTTGAAGAAATTGTATGAGATGAAAAAGAAATGATGTCCAACTTTTTCAAAAGAGTTCTTTTCTGCTGGAATTTTATCTTCACAATGAAGTGAATCTACAAATCATTCTTTGTCTAGAAAAATGAATGCAAGCTCGTCTCTTTGTGACTTTTATCATTTTTCAGTGAGGCTGTCAGTGAATGGCGAAGTAATAAGCGTAAAGACTAGTAGCGTTGTTGGGATGGGTTTCCCGAAATTGCTATTCCTTATGTTAGTTTGTTACATAAAGCTTCCAAGGTTTACACGATTGATGCATATAAATTCTTTGAGAAGGAATTTCAGAGAGGTATGTTGCTGAAATATGATCTTAATCATCATCAAGGTTCTCTAATGGAGTATTTGGTATGGATGCCTCAAATAGATTTGTTTTCTCATTGGGTTTCTTATGATACAACAACACATTTTGTTAGTTTTCGTGTCAAAAATTCCCAGAGGTTGATATTTTGTGTTGTCATATTCTTCGTATATATAATATTCACTGTGTGGAAGTTGTTCCGGATTGTTATATTTTGAAAAGGTGGACTCGTACAACAAAGTGTCACGTAAATGAACAAACTCATTTTTAGCTAGTACTTCTACTGTTTTACCTTCTGTTTGGAGACTGCAAATGCAAAAGAAATATCACAAGCTTTTATGTTCTAGTGATTGTAATTCTGCAACAAGGAAGTTATGTGAAGACTCTTTTAAAAAGTTGAAAGTTGCTGTTGAAGATCAAGTTGGAAGCATTTATTTCTCAGATAGTGATTCTACCTTTTTTGGTGTGCCTTCAGCAATCTCTAATCCAAAATCTTCAAGGAAAAAGGGTGAAAGAAATGTGCGCCGCAAAAGTCTTATTGAAATAAAAACAAATCAAGCTAGAGGAAGAAAAAAAACTCGTCAAGCAAGTGTATCAGCCACTGATCATGCAACATTGTAATGAGACTATTATATATTTAGTTAGTGTTTTGTTGAGCTTTTGATATTATTAGACATATGTCTGTAATTCTATTACTCAACTTGGTTGTTCTGATGTTCAAAAGAAGCCTATTAAATTTTCATATATAAATATGTATATGGGACTTACATAAATGATTCGTAAGTTCTCTTTTATTCACTAATCTTTAATTTTATAGTAACTTCTCTTTTATTCACTAATATTTAATTTTGTTTTACCTTATCCTCACAATATTTGCATGTTTACTATTATTGTTTGTGTTCATTTAGGAACAATATTAATTACAATGATCACCCTTATTCATAAAATGATATTTTTGTGTAATAAACTGATCTTTTATAATTTAAACTTACATATGAAATTGTGTTTTCATAAGAAGACAAATTCATACTCTAATTATTGAAATATGAGTATCCATTCACATAAAATGTTTTTTATATTTATAAATGCTCTAACATCTATCTTTTTTCCCTAAATTTGCTTGGAGCATTTTAACTAACTTACTAATAGTTAAAAATAACACTTTTGAAAACGTTTTTGTTTGATAAATTATAAACCTTTTCCACACTAGATTTTTATAACTTTAATTTACTACTCATCAAATAGAGTATGTATGCATTCAAAATGAGCATGTAATATACTAGTAATGATCATTCACCTAAACGTAACAACATGTCCAGGAGATTCACCATAATGTCATCAACACAAACAAAACATGTTTGATCTCAAATGAAACCATAGCAGCATACATAACAGCATGTCTGAGAGATTCACCATAATGTCATTAAACAAACAAAACATGTTTTTCTCAAATGAAACCATGGAAGCATTGGGGTTTTTACCTCAATATTACTAATAAGTGGCTCATTGACAAAAAAGTGACCTTTTATTCAATTTTCAAAAAATGTGACTGAACAGTGAAAATTTCAGGCGCTACAGTAACATCACTATAATAACGGCGCTATAGTAACGACACTACAGTAACGGCGCTACAGTAACGACACTACGGTGACATGGCTATAGTGACGATTTTACGGTGACACCACCACTGTGACAATTTTACAGTGACAACACCAAAGTGACTCCATTCCACGGTGTATACCACCTGCCAACACGCCACAGTGACACCGCCAATGGTGACACCGCCAGCGGTGACACGCCGGCTCCGGCCATAGTGACACGCTGAGTCCGGTCATAGTGACATGCCGTCTCAGCTGCTCCTCACAGTCCCTCAGCCCTATCCCCGGCCTTCCCTGCCCTAGTGCCGCCACTGACTATCGCCGCTGACTAT